TATATATATATATATTAGTGGTTGCTATGCAACAAAGGATGTAAAAAGGGGTGAAATGTAGTTCATTTTATTCAGCCAATGTTATTCAGCCAAGCAAAGACTATGGCAGGGATTTACCTGAGAATATCTCCCTTGTTTAGATTGAGGAGGACACTGTAACCCCTGAACTCTGGCTCACAAGGACAAGTCTCCCCCCGGTTATGCAGGTCCTGGTACATCTCCTTCAGGCTCAGGAGACATTTTGTCAAATTCTCATTGTTGATCTTCGGTTCAAAGGAGGACATGGGCTCTTCACATAGCTCATATGCACAATGGATGTGAAATCGCATACACTTTTCCATTAGAGACACAGTCACAGGGTCGCATAAATGCTGTTGTGTGATGTCCTAGGAGAAAACATACCATCTAAATCACAAAGAGAAATGACTATGTTCTCAAAAGGTAATATGCAATGGCTTTGAAGTGTATTTTATATTTATATAAAAGAAAACAGCTTGATGTAAATACCGGACAGGATTTCTAATACATTTATAGCAGCCGAGTCTATTAGAGATCTTGACCGGAGGTTTAGTGTATTTGGCTCTGGGGTAGGCCTACAGTATACCAGGTGTTCACGCAAGGCCTTACTGCGACAGTATACATGTCTGGGTGGTGAAAGTACGGTCATCACAAGGCTCTTGTCAGCCGCTAAAATCATAAACTTTTTGGTGACAGAACTACGCACCACATGTGGTGCATTATTAAACCTTTGTACGAAAGGTATTCTATCCGATGTGGCATCTCTGCTAGTCCCATTACTGAATCTTTCCGTGACTAGATTTAATGCACAGTCAATAACCGTGTTGGGATATCCTCATTCCAAAAACTTATCGTACATCTTCTCAAGTTGTATGTGACATGGATCAGTGTTAGAGCATACACGCATGACCCACAAGAACCAAGATATGGGCAAGCTGTCCAGTAAGTGTTTGGGGTGTGCGCTTTTATAGTGCAGTATAGTTTTTCTATCCGTTGACTTGCTGTAATAGGTAGCGAAAAAGCTACCCTTTGATTTTGACACAAATACATCCAAAAACAGGAGGCCCGCACCAGAGATCTCTGGGTTAAATATGATCCATGGAAATATGTTGTTAAATAACCGAACAATATCTCTGTCCCAGATGAGGAACACATCATCCATATTACAGAACCAGCTTTTAAAATGCATTTCTCCTGAAGAAACCCCACAAAGGGGTTTGCAAAGGAGGGTGCAGCCGAACTACCCATTACGGTACCCCTAATCTGGAGGTAGACTTGTTGTTCAAATGAAAAGAAATTAATGTTCCAGTACAAAACGCATGCATTGCAACACAAATTTCTTGGGAAACAATTTCCGTTTATCACGGAACAGAATGGTGAATAGCCTCTAAACATGCCTCTCATTAGGTATGCTGGTGTACAGGGAAGGTACTGTATAACCATAGTAGCTAACAACCAGTTGTCATTAACAGAATGAAGCCCCGACAGTTTGTCAAGAAAATCAGTAGTGTCCTGAATATAAGCAGGGAGTATGCCAACCAAAGGTGGTAATATAGAGTCAATGACCTGTGCTAGTGGCTGTGTGATATAATCTGATCCAGAAACAATGGGACGAAACTTGAGAGGATTAAAAGTAACATTAAAGGCTTATTCCTCCCCATGCTTCTTTAAGTACTTACCTTATGTGATGCCTCTTGATGCAAACATCTTCTTCCTTCCACTCTCTCCAACAGTCCCATTACGGTTGGTGTCGCTGTCTGATCGAGCACAGACTCCAATATCTTCCTGTGTCCCTCAGAGTCTGTCCTGCGTGCATGCTCCCAGCTGCGTCCATTCACTTACACTGTGTCACTCCTCCTCTCCCCTCCGATGATATCAAGTGTGCATTACTGTTCGGGAAGTTGTGTTCTGCAGCCAGGAGCGAGCGGCGCAGACACAGGTAAATTACATATTTGGCTACTTTTTTTCAAAATGTTGGGGCATATATCTACTGCTTGCTAGCCGTAGATATACAGTATGTAATAAAAATGGAGACTTTAATATCACTTTAACACCCTTGTGTATCTTGGGTAACCTGTAGATCACTGGGATTCAAGCACTCTCATTAATAAGGAACCCCTCCATATATTTCTCTATCCATCTGTTCACTGATCCAATTTCAACCACAGAGGTTAATTCTGTGTAAGCGTCTTAATCAATATTCCTTGTGAATATAAATGGAATGGTCAGATAACAACTTAATCATTCCAGCAAAGTGTTGGGAAAAGTCCATGATTGGGAAGTTGGGAATTGCTGGTAAATGCAGTGAGAAAACTGTGGGGGAGAAGAGTACTACAGAAGGTAAAGGATGAAGGTTTTTGGGCATGTATAGTATGCCTAAAGTCCATAACTAGTTAAGAAAAGCGCAAGATAAGGGTTTTCTGGCTAACAAAGTTCATAGCAAGCATTTTGCAGTGTCTGCTCTTTAAAGGAGAACTATGGGGTTAGGGCTTTTCCCCATAGTTTTCCTTAGGGTAACGGGAGGACACAAACTAGCGTCCTCCCGTCACCCTAAGCTCAGTATACCGCGAGCTACAGCTCGCGTTATACTGAGACCTCGCAGCTGAAGCGGATAACGACAATTATGTCTGGATCCGCCCAGCTGCGTGAGTGACAGCTGGCTCTGCCAACTAGGAGGCAGAGCCAGCTGTACACGCCCCCTCCCCCGTCCGTTCCGCCAGTCAGCGCTGGCGGATCGGAGCGGGGAGGGGGGAATCCAGTCCCTCCCCTGTCACGGCAGAGAGCCGTGACAGGATCGAGAAGTGAGCGAACGCCGGTATGTGTTCGGTCACTTCCCGATCTACTGAGCCGACCTGTCACAGTTTCATTGTCACAGGTCGGCTAGAACTATAAGGATGAGTGAAAAGCACTCACCTCATAGTTGTCCTTTAAGAAGATCATTTATATTTCAAATTGTACAAAATGGCTGACTTACTGAGGCTTACTTTATGCAGTTACAATGTATTTCTCATATAAATCTTAACCTGTTCTTACCTTTCGAATTCCTCGTGTTCGGTTCCACACAAAATCATACCAATCTCTATAATTGTTCTCCCCATGGTCCATGATATAGTTTACAAGATAGTCCATTGTCATACACAGCACTGGCAAAGGGCGCAGTTCATGGGGGAGTGGTTCCTCTTGATCAGCTGAGGAACGACTATACTCTTTAATGGCGGCAGCATGGTCAGCCTAAGACAAAAATAATATTATTACAGTCTGCAAGTAAATATGTCTACGGAACAGTACCAAGTTCAAATTTTCAAACATAACTAAACCAGTTCATCATTTATTTTCACTATAAAGCCATCAACCTATCTGATATCTAAACCAAAGAATCTATATTGCAGCAATAATCCTATTAAGAGGTTAGGGTTTCTCCCAGCCAGTATTATGTGCCCGAATAGGCCATTGCTCTGTATACATTAGTCACCGTAAGAATGAAACAGTTTGAATTGCAAAATTCGCTGCTAAAGAAAACTGTCCCTTGAGATATTCTATATAATAATATTCCAAGTTGGGGAGCAGTGATTGTGTACTCTAAACATACTCCATTTAGTAACCTACAGGCATTCCATCACTGACAAAAATAAAAAAAATAAAAAAAAAAAGGCACAACAAAGGTTGTGTATGAACAGTGAAGCAGAAACAGTTTAAGCACAAGTTTACTTTTAGTTAACTTACACCATATGCAATTGGCTTCCCCCGCTTAATATAGCCTGCTGAATTAATCATTTACAAACAATTAAATCTTCATAGTACAGTTTAGAAAAAGAAAGCAATTCCCACTCTTTGATATGGGCAAATTATCATTACTTTACTTTTGTTAAGTTGAAATATGGGACTGCACATTTATGATGAGTCGAACAATACCTTGTCACTTCCTGGAAGAATTTCAAAAATACTAAGCTGGTTACGGGTCTCCCTCATATATCTCTCCTTTTCAGGGCACATATCCGGACATGTGCCCACAAACACTTTGGCTTGGTCAAGTTCTGTCCTTTTCACTCGAGCTACAAAAACAAAAAAACAAAAGGATGGTTTACAAATGGTATAGCAAACACTGTTTGATCTGATCCATTAGAAGGAGGATTCTGGAAATGTTTATAATTTTCCCATGTGTAGTAAAATACAATAAGTATGACAAGTGTTAATTCACTTAAGATGTGGAATGTGTTTTCAGTTGCATTTGGTGTAAATGAGCAATAAGATGTGCCGCTGTAAATTTTATAGTTTCCAGAAAAACCTAAGGTTTAATGTTATCAACTTGTAAACAATATGGGGCACAGCACAAGCGAACATCTGGGAGATGTCTGTAATTTACAAAAAACAAAACAAAAGTGCATTAATATCCTAGGACAAAAACTGAATCTGCGTTGTCAGCTTTCGGACATTAGTCCCAGGTCAGATACAGGGGAGAGGGCCACCACACCAAAAGGTCCGCTATGTCCCCCAAAAATAATAGAAAGGCATTTTCACTACAAAGACTAGCTCAACACTTTATTGGGAAAACACAATCCCAAAAAACACTCAAAATGCAACAATCCCTTGTACTATGTAAGTTTCCTAATTTTGTGCCCCCCGCCCAACCCTAAACATGAAATTGTATAAGATTAAATTAAAAAAATTAACTCTGGGAAGGCTTTCATTAAAGTGATCCATCCCATGTATCCATGGTGCCATGAAGACCTCTAAGAAGTGGAAAAGAACTAAAAATATTTGCATGTGAAAAGTTTCTTAGGCTCTGTACACACGGGGCACTCTAGAATTCCTGCACCAAAACCCTACGGGTTCCTGCAGCAAGAATGCCAGGTGCCCCCCATTGAAATGCGGGCGCTGTAACCATCAAAGTAATGACAGGGTAACAGCAGTCACATCTGTCTGCAGCAGATCACATGTAATCCTATATGGTACAATTACCTGCAGTTTAAGAGAGACGATTGTCGGTGGAAGCATCTATCCTGCGCGCAGCAACAATTATCTATTAAGCTTTAAGTCTGTGTGCAGTGGAGGTGTGTGCAGTGCAACAGAACCCCCACTGGTTCGCAAAAAAAATCCAAGAATCCCCTCTGAGCAGGGAATAATCACTATAAAAATGTAGACAAGCCCTCCTAATATTCCTGTTTGTAAAGGCCGATTAATGTCATAGATTGTATGGTAAATGAGAGTTGCTCTGGTTTGGCCAGAAAAGCAGGAAGGTGGCTGTTGTTGCCACCAGATTTAAATAAATGCCGTGATTCGTAGAGAAGGACACCTGCTGAGTCTCCTTTGCAACTGCAGGTTCATATGATCTTCGACTCCACTTCCACACCATTCCTGGGCTGCTTTGCCGTTTCTAAATGCTGTCTGCCTCGTGTTGCGTAACAGCTGCGGCCATCTTAGGGGTGTTCACGTGCATATTTGGCCAGCTTCTCACTGATAATTTTAGCTGCATCTTGGCTGATTCTGACCATTTCTGAGTGTGCAGGAGTCTCCGGGAAGCTAAGCCAAGTGGATAGGGAAGGATGTGATGCACTGGACCAGCATGATAATTGACAGGATAAGCAGCAGAGATTTCCAAGACGCTGCTTACATCTCAGGAGTTGGCCATACCACAACTATCTATCGCTCTTGGTGAAAATGTGCTCTTTTATGTCCAACCTAAGAAGATCTCTACTTACTTTGTCGCAAGATTTTGTCCCTCTGGTCCAGCAGGCAATACCTCTCTTCAGGAGTTTTTGCCACAGCCCCCACAAGATGCAAAAGTGAAGGTGGCAGAGATGGAACTGTAGAGTCAGAAGAAGTTGCAGGGGCATCTGTATTATCAACATCAAACTGAAGAGCCTTTGCAAACTGAGATTTCTTTTGAGGAGATCTATTAAAATTCAGATAAATACAAAGTTCAAAACAGCATAATATACTCAACGTGCAGATACAACAAAAACTGTGCATAAACTCACCCCTTAATTGTACGGAGAAGAGGCTTGTGTACAGGGGAGGAAAGTACACTGCTTTCCTGCTCAGTCTGCTTTTCCTTTCTTTCCTCCTGATGATTTTCTCTGTTAGGGACTGGCAATTCTTTCTTACCTGGACCTAAAATAATACAGGTATTGGCAAACAACTTTCGAAAAGAAAAAAAAAAAAAAAAAAAAAACAAAAAAAAAAAACACAACATTCTACAAACTGCAACTTATATAAAAAGTTTCACTTACTAAATTTCTTTCTATACCAAAACGCAGTCACATCCTTGTGCAGCTTCTTCACGGCTTTCTTAGCATTTACTGCAGTTTTCTAAACAAAGAGGAACGCAAAAGAATGATTTCCTTTTTTTAACTGAGAAACAAAAACAGAATAGTATTGTCTGGAATAGACTGTTATAATACCAAGTACGTGTTCAAAGAGAACTCAGATTAAATACTTCTGAATAGTTGAATTAGGTTAACTTTATTTGAACACATGATAACTGATGATTTAAATGAAAATTTCCTTACATTGCAAGTTGCCATTACAGTGCTTAGTAGAAAAAACAACCTCAGGAGTCTAGACAACTAGGGGCTTCTTAGTAGGAGTTTGGCAGCTTCCGAATCTTTGCGAAAGCAACACAAAGTTTCAGCCACAGATGCCTTTTAACTTAGATCAATTTTAGAATGAAAAGCCCTTCAGAGTAGTTTAGTTAATTTGTAACAAAAAGCCCTCAGATCGGAAAGACTTTCACGAATCCACAGCAGTAGGTGTCAGGGCCCATTACCGCAAAGCAAGTTAAATGCATTGATGCATTAAAAGGTGCCCTTTGAATGTCACTCCAACACACCATGTTGATAGACATGCATTGCAGCAGAGAGCTATATGTATTGTGGTGTGTTGGGCAAAAAAAACTGTGCAATATTGCACTAAAGCGCATGTTAACACAATGCATGGTTGGTGTGAAAGGGCCCTTAGTGAGGAGGGCAGTTCTCAGGTCTGACAGTTGCCCAGTAACCATAGTTTCTGTGATTATTTATTTAATCCATGAATTTTATATTTTCACCTATGACAGTCCATCTAAATGGAAAGAGAGCAATTATGCCCAATGGCCAATGTAGAACGTCTGCAACACTCCTCCCCAATCTCTCTCTCACTATCAACTGCCTATCTTGAACAAGCTGTGCCTGCCCCTTATAAACAGGCTGAGCTGATAACCTTATAGCCAACTAACAAGATGCTAGAGCCAACCAGCTGCCAAAAACATGAAAAAAAAAAACCCACCACCACAAGCCCCCAAAACAATACGAGGAAAATCAATAGTGGAGCAGACAGAAACTGGAGCAATTGCCCATGGCAACCAATCAGCATCCACCTTTCATTAGCAAACCAAAGAGAGAAGCTGCAACAACTAAATCGATTCAATCGATAATGAGAATCATTGGCAACAATTCTCATCATCGATTAGTTGATTTTCGATTAGTTGCCGCCGCTCTGCTTCTCTATTCTCCACCCTGCTGGTGCTGGCTGCCACGCCCTGTATCGGCAGAGGAAGCGGGGACACAGTCCACTGCAGCAAGCATCATCAAGGAGAAGAGACTGATGTGACTGCTATCCCCCGCTGCCCCGTTTCTCATCCTCTGCTCCCCCGTGCCCCCTCTGCTGCCAGTGTTCTATCGAGTCCGAGGGAGTGATAGAACACTGGTGTCAAGTCTCCCATCAGCGCCTGGAAACTAAAGCCAGCCTGCTATTGGATATTGGGTGCAATAGCAGGCTGGCTATTGCACCCACTCACTGCCTGCTGTCATCAGCAGAGGAGGACCTGAAGGAGAACTTTTTCCTTCAGGCTCCTCCTCTACCAATTGCCAGCAGGCAGTGGGCGGGTGCAATAGCCAGCCTGGTATTGCAATTTAAAAAAAAAGCAATAATAGGCTGGCTATTGCTCCAAGCCACTGCCTGCTGTGTTGACATTCAGCTGCCTCACCCATCAGGGAGGTGGACCAGGGGGCATAAATGAAAATGGCTATGCTTCACCCTCCCCCATTGGAGGTAAGCAGCCTAAGGAAAAGAAAGAAAGATAGTTGAAAGGGGACAGCACACAATGGAGCCTGCCTCCCCATCTAGAGTTCCAGGTGATCCTTTCCATCCGAAGAAGGAAACACCAATACTGACCAGGTCGGAAGGACTTCCTTTTAAGATTTGGTGATGTGTTTAATGTTCCTGCTGGACGAGGGCTTGCTGTCTCATGTGCTGTCCTTGAAAGACGAGTTGGAAAAATCTCCTTTAGGAACACCCATCTGTCACCATGTTCACCAACCAATGTAGTACCATGACACACTTTGCATCGTACATAGAAATCTGTTCCTATAATGGAATAGCAAGGTTTTTGGTGCTTCCCTTCCAGGCCAAATGATCCCAGTTCTCCCCTGGTGGTCAAGAATGGATCTGTGAAAGACAGACTCTCCTACTGGCTGCTCAGGCAGGCCCACCTATTTTCGACTTTAAAGTGTTCGTTGAACGTGTGCTTGGCTATGTGTGCTTGGCTGTGTGAGCAAGCATATGAGAATAGCATCTCAATAGAAGTCCTATACAGGTGAAACTCGAATAATTAGAATATCGTGCAAAAGTAATTGCAGTAAGTGCTGCAAAAGGGGCCCAAACCAAGTACTGAGTACATATGCATGCTTGTACTTTTCAGAGGTCCGATATTGTTCTATGTACAATCCTTCTTTTATTGATTGCATGTAATAATCTACTTTTTTGAGGTTGTGGATTTGGGGTTCTTGGGGTTTTCATGAGCTGTAAGCCATAATCATCACAATTATGACAAATCACGGCTTGAACTATCTTGCTTTGCATGTAATGAGTCTAATCTCATATATTAGTTTCTCCTTTTAAGTTGCATTAGTGAAATAAATGAACTTTGCACGATATTCTAATTATTCGAGTTTCACCTGTAGATGTTTTTCAGTGCACTGAACAGCTAAGTGTAGCCCAATGCAGACAGTGTTTTGACAGCTTCTTAAAATGGCCGTTTTGAAGACGTCAAGTTAAAGAGATGAAATAAACCCATAAAAGGTCTCCAGGACAAGCTTTTCTGAAAAGTTTTTTTGCACAGTGAAATCGTTTTCAGATATTCATATATTAAACAGATACGCATTTAATTAAACACTATAAATGCAGGAATTAACACTATAAAGAGGACAAAAAAAAAAAACTTACTTGGTGGGCAAAGTGAATAACCGCAGTCAATTTATTAGCCCTACAATACACCCGCTGAATTTTCCCATACTTCTTAAAGAATTTTTCCAAAATCTGTTTAGTATTTAGATGTGGAGGAAGATTCTTCAACTGAATGCAGGTTTGTTCATTAGGAGAGAGTGGACCAAAGCTGTCGGTGCTGTCATTTCGCTTAGCCCTGCGAAGTGGTGTTATCGTGGAGGAAGCTAAAGAGAACATTACAAGCATAATCAAATGTTAACAACTAGCTCTAACAAAACATGCTTTCAGAAAAGCTGCCAAGAAAAGTCACAAACTAAATACCTTCACTTATAAATTATATACTTGAGAGGTAATTTAGTGTGGGCCTCAATTAAGATTTGAAATGAGATGTAATGTTTTTTTTCCAACACTGTCACCCATATTACACCCGCTGCGGACTGTCAAATTCTAGTCAATACTGACTTCAATACCCTGAGTTACCAACCTAGAAAAAGTATGCCAATAAGGACTTTTGGCTACTCAAACCTTCTGATAAAACATACCTGTTCCAGGTCAGAGACTTAAAGTATCCTAGCTAGTGGGCAATGACTGCAGTTATACCTAGAATAAGTTTAAATCTACAGAGGGGGAAAAAAAATGTGTTTTATGCTATTATTCTACAGAGACATGGGTATGACCTTATGAGCCCATTCAGACCAGGGCGGTTGCGAATCAGCACGCTTACCGCGTTGATCTCAAAAAGGGAGGTTTGGGAGTTTTTAATTGTGTTTTAGTGCTGAAATGCAATATAAAATGCCCAAACCGCGCATGAATGGCCCCCATAGCAATGTATGGGATTGTTCATGTCGGCGGATCCGTGCGGACGAACTCCCCCTGTGTGAAGGTGGTCTATCTGTGGCAAAAAGTTTAAGAAATTTGAATTTTTTTCCAAATTAAAACTGAACTGGGAAAAATGGGCAACTGGCCTTTTTTAGGAGAGGTCTGAAATGGCAATCTTCGTGTTTATCTTTTTTACAGGTTTGCTTTAGCAATAGATGTACATGAATGCAATGGTGGACAAATATTGAATTCAGCAGCCAGCCTGTCCAATCCAGGAGTCTGTATTTTTTAGTAGCTAATTTCATTGACAGAAATTGGAGAAAACCTCAAAAGTTAGCCACCAGCTTTAATTGTTTTGGCTCCTCTGATTTGTCCGGCCCTGCAATAAGGACTAGCTTCTATCAGCTAGATTATTGGCATTCCCTTAGCATTTTTTTTCTTGTGTTACAGTTAACATTCTAGATGCTATCTATCTCTAAAGAAAAAAAGACAGACAATGAGGATTATTTACTGCACATACGCAACGTTTCTTGACTCAGGGCTAGTTCCATCAAGGGTCGAATTTTGGTAGACAGTGGACCAGGTCCAGCCACAGAACTGTCTCTGCCAGGGCTTTGTAAGATTGGTCCAACTTTAACATTACTGCTAGATGGTCCCTGGCTTGCAGAGGGATGGGGCTTGGGGGGCTGATTGGACACAGGTGGTAATTGAGTTTTAGCCAATCCATGCTGGATGGATTCAGATGCTGGATAATTTCTTGCAACTGCCTGACTTAGCGCTGATGTATCCGAATCTGGCAATACAGAATCGGCCTTCTCCTCCCTTTTGGTTTCCTTTTGTTGGGATTTCATTTGACTTTTTAAAGCATCATACAAGCTTTTATACAAAATATTAGCACTTCCTTGTCTATCCCTATTTAGTCGGGTAGACCTCTTTATTGAAGGGTGTTCACGATGCAAATCGGCAGAGGTATCATCTAAGGAGGCAAATTCTTGTTTGCGCGTAGAGCGGCCTGATTCTTCTTTTCGCTTCATCCCTTTATGTGGCTCTTCTCTTGCAGCCTCGTCATTAAAATTGGTAAAACTACTATCAGCACTTGCAAATGGAGGCCTCAAAGCCTCAGTTTCATCTTTGCGTTTATTTTCTTCAGAGAAAGAGACAAAACTGCTACTCTGCCTTTCCCCTGAAGTAGGATTTCCAAATAAAGGCTTTTCCATTGCCTCCTGAGATTTCCCTGCTCCGGGTAACACTGGCTTGAAAGCTGTATTTGAAGACGATATGCTAGAAATTTGCCCAAAGGGGGAAGAAGCCATGTTAACCGACAGTTTGGATTCTGGTACACTAGAATTGGTAGTTTCTCCAAAGGCTAGATCAATATTTTTAGTCTGTCCAGAAGCGGAAGTGCTTGAGGGTGGACCAAAGACCGATGCTTTTTCACCTGTTTCCCCGAATATATTTCGTCCAGTTTGTGTGGTGGATACTGTCCCAAATTTTGAAGACTGGGTTAATGATGTCTGGACAGAGGTAGGCTGTCCAAACTTAGGCGCTTGGCCAAACAAGTTACTCTGCCCAGTAGTTGTCTGTCCAAAAGCAACATTTTGACGTGTTCCATCTTCTCTGGACTGGGTGGATGATGACTGCCCCAAACTTTGCCCAGATGTGTTCTGCCCAAACATAGGTGTCTGACCAGAAGCTGGCTGACTAAAAGCAAAGGTAGTGCCAGGCACTGACTGTCCAAACATTAAACCTTGACTTGATTCCCCCTGAGACTGTTTGCTCAACTGTTCAAAAACAGATGATCCTGAAGCTGCCTGTCCAAATATTGAAGTGCTACTTCCAAAGGGCGTAGATGACTGGCTAGAAAGACTCTGTGCAAATGGAGAAGCAGCCTGGTTAGTATTGGACTGAGAAAACAAAGTTGATTGGTTATTAGCTTGCTGAGCAAAAAGTGGATTAGGCTGGCTAGTTGTTGCATGGGGAAAGGGGGATGCTGACTGGCTACTGGCAACCTGTCCAAAAAGAGGTGTTTGATTAGAATTTGAATGTCCAAATGCAGGACCTGACTGCCCAAATGCGGAAGTTGGTTGGCTAGTGGTTGTCTGCCCAAAAGGGGAGGCAGCTTGTCCAGTATTTCCAGGTCCAAATGCTGGTGCTGTCTGTCCAAATTTAGGTCCTGACTGTTCAGAATTAGCCTGCCCAAATACAGCTGTGGCCTGTCCAAACATAGGTGTGGACTGTCCAGAAGCAGCCTGCCCAAATACCGTGCTTCCAGATTGCCCAGAAGCAGCCTGTCCAAATACAGATCCAGACGGTCCAGAAGCTGTTTGGCCAAATACGGATCCAGCCTGTCCCAAAGGGACCTGACCAAATACAGACCCAGACTGCCCAGAAGTACCCTTTCCAAACACAGATCCAGACTGTCCAGAGTTGGCTTGTCCAAATACAGGTCCAGACTGTCCAGAGTTGGCTTGTCCAAATACAGGTCTAAATATAGGACCAGAATTCTCCGATGTGGCCTGCCCAAAAACAGAATTAGATGCTCCAGATGTTGCCTGTCCAAATACAGGGCCAGGTTGTACAAATCCAGGAGCTGACTGTCCTGTGGATGCCTGACCAAACACAGGAGCAGAAAATCCACTGTTGGTCTGGCCAAATGATGGAATAGACTGTGCTCCAGTAGTCTGCCCAAATGCAGGTGTCTGGCTAGGAGTACTTTGACCAAATGCAGGAGCAGCCTGATTTGTAGGGAGTTGACCAAACATGGATGAAGATTGTCCAAATGAAGGAGCAGATAGCCCACCTGCACTCTGTCCAAATATAGGTGTCTGTCCAAACAATCCAGTGCTTTGACTGGCAGTCCCAGTGTTTGGAGGTCCACCAAATGGATTATTAGAATTCATGTCTGAAGCAGAGAAGTGTTCTAGGTTTAATTACACATGTTTAAAACCTTTAAAAGAAAAAAGAAAACAAGGCTCAAGTTAGGTAAAATAAACAATGAATAACATTTACTTAATGAAACATAGTCAGGAATACAATGGCCATAAACAATACAATGCAAAAGAATATGGTAAATAATTACCTTTGCTGCTCATGCACCATTCATCACTGCTCTTTTCAAGAGGAACAGTCTACTAAGTTTTCTGCAGAAACCAGCAGTTCTAAGAGTGTTGTACTCTTGGTCACACCCTGCGCTCATTAGCTCCAATTGCTGACCTCCCATTCATTAGTGTGTTCTGCAGTGATGTTGAGGTTAGCGGGAGGAACTACTGATCACATTATGGCCTATCCACCCTAAAAAATATCCTTACTTATTTTGGTTTCTGCAGCAATGTAGTCTGTCACAGTACACTGCATTCCATTCACATAGCGAAAATTTGCTGCTGATCCTGCTAGAAAATCAATTATTCTTATAACACTGAAAGTGTTTTGTTATACATGTTAAAAGTAGAAAAATATAATGGTTGATCTGGAGAGCTGGTAACTTAATGTACACTGCCTCTGTTATCATTTAGCATTCTTCCCAATTCTCTGTGGACTACAGAACACCCCCCGGCATGTTGTGGAAATCAGGAGAGGGGAAAGTGTTCTGCCGTCCTCGCACATTTTCTGTCTTAGGCTGGGCACACACCTTACAACCATCGTAAGACTTTTGTCTTGCGATGGTTGTAAGATACTTAAAAAAAAAACGTACAATCTGCCTATCTTGCATAGGCAGATCGTACTTGCGATGATCGCAAGCCACGCCCCCTGAGGGGCGGGCTTCCGATGACCGCAATGCCAAACGGGCAGTGTGCTTGCGCACACCGGCCCGTACGGCTTTTATCGTACGGACATGCCACAAACCCGCCGAACGTCGTACGATGCTCGGCGGGTTTTCGAACATGTTCGTAAGTTTAAAGTCGTGCGACCTTACAGTAGTAGAGGTCGCACGGCTTCCACACACCTTACGATAATCGTACGATCGCGGGATTTCCCGCGATTATCGTACGATTATCGTAAGGTGTGTGGGGACCTTTAAGGTAACATTGCTGATACAGTACAGTTGATAGAGAAGGAAGTGTGTTACTGGCAGGATCAGCAGGAAAAAAAAATGTAAAAGGCCGAACAAAGAAAACAAATTTAGCCATCACATGTAAAGATGTGTAAACTGCAATATATACATTTTTGTACTTGCGTTAAGATACACTTTAATGAGAAAAAAAAAACTAAAAAGAAAATACAAAAAAAAAAAGGCAGAAAAACAATATCTAAAAGGGAAAGAAGTAAACTAGTGCAGATAATAGTTAACTACGGTTAATAAGGGACTGAAAATATATTTTTTTCTTTAAACTTCTAAAGGTGTAACCATAAAGGTAGCTTAATTGGTGTGATATGCTGGTTATCCCCTTTTTCTGCACATGAAAAAAAAAACCTTATGTACCATACAACAAGGTTGTTACGCTGTCTTTTTCAAGGACGAACATTCGTACACTGCCTAAAAGTATAATTTTCCACAGAAGCTACTATAAAGAAAGTCCCATTTGGGGGAAAAAAGGACAGAGCCATTGTCATCCTATATAATAGAAAGTGCCTAAACAAGGACCTTCATTGCTGGTCCAGCAGATGTTTTATTGAAAGCTGCAGATTTAAACATATTGAAATAACATGTTAAAGTTTATATGAGATATTTGTAGTTGCAGTGGGCTACTCTTGTACTGCAAGGATTAACTGGTTATTAATGTCAAAGGGGACGGGTAAATTCCTTACGTACCTGCTCCTCCAGGTAGTCCTCTCCGGCTTGTGGACTATCCCTCACCACACCATTATCATGTATAAAACAGGACTATGAGCCCTGCATTAGATGTGATGACATCAGTGCGCTTCCAGCCGCCATTGTGGAGGGGGAATGAGGTTGTGGGTGCCGGCCATGGAGCAGGGATCAGGCAAGTAAAAGTTCTTTACACAGGTACTCTAGACATTAATGAGCAGATAACCCTTGCATGCAATAATGCAAAAAGATGGCAGCTCCAATTCTTTGTATCCCCTGGTATTTGAGCAACTGTTCATCAAATCATTTTTTGTATAAAACACATTCAAATTATTGCATGCAATCACAAATATCCACCCTAAAAAATATCCTTACTTATTTTGGTTTCTGCAGCAATGTAGTCTGTCACAGTACACTGCATTCCATTCACATAGCGAAAATTTGCTGCTGATCCTGCTAGAAAATCAATTATTCTTATAACACTGAAAGTGTTTTGTTATACATGTTAAAAGTAGAAAAATATAATGGTTGATCTGGAGAGCTGGTAACTTAATGTACACTGCCTCTGTTATCATTTAGCATTCTTCCCAATTCTCTGTGGACTACAGAACACCCCCCGGCATGTTGTGGAAATCAGGAGAGGGGAAAGTGTTCTGCCGTCCTCGCACATTTTCTGTCTTAGGCTGGGCACACACCTTACAACCATCGTAAGACTTTTGTCTTGCGATGGTTGTAAGATACTTAAAAAAAAAACGTACAATCTGCCTATCTTGCATAGGCAGATCGTACTTGCGATGATCGCAAGCCACGCCCCCTGAGGGGCGGGCTTCCGATGACCGCAATGCCAAACGGGCAGTGTGCTTGCGCACACCGGCCCGTACGGCTTTTATCGTACGGACATGCCACAAACCCGCCGAACGTCGTACGATGCTCGGCGGGTTTTCGAACATGTTCGTAAGTTTAAAGTCGTGCGACCTTACAGTAGTAGAGGTCGCACGGCTTCCACACACCTTACGATAATCGTACGATCGCGGGATTTCCCGCGATTATCGTACGATTATCGTAAGGTGTGTGGGGACCTTTAAGGTAACATTGCTGATACAGTACAGTTGATAGAGAAGGAAGTGTGTTACTGGCAGGATCAGCAGGAAAAAAAAATGTAAAAGGCCGAACAAAGAAAACAAATTTAGCCATCACATGTAAAGATGTGTAAACTGCAATATATACATTTTTGTACTTGCGTTAAGATACACTTTAATGAGAAAAAAAAAACTAAAAAGAAAATACAAAAAAAAAAAGGCAGAAAAACAATATCTAAAAGGGAAAGAAGTAAACTAGTGCAGATAATAGTTAACTACGGTTAATAAGGGACTGAAAATATATTTTTTTCTTTAAACTTCTAAAGGTGTAACCATAAAGGTAGCTTAATTGGTGTGATATGCTGGTTATCCCCTTTTTCTGCACATGAAAAAAAAAACCTTATGTACCATACAACAAGGTTGTTACGCTGTCTTTTTCAAGGACGAACATTCGTACACTGCCTAAAAGTATAATTTTCCACAGAAG